CCCACAGCCCCCCACAAGGCGCCGTCCCTCCCAGCTCTCTGCCAGCGCTCCGCCGCCCCTCACCCCCTAATCCCGGCGGTCCCGGCGGTCCCGGCGATCCCGGTTGATCCCGGTTTATCCCGGTTTATCCCGGTTTATCTCGGTTTATCTCGGTTTACCCTCACTCACTTCCGGCTCCGCCGGTGCCTGTCAACACCCCGCGCTTTACAGCGCTGCCGTCGCAAAAGCCGCTGTCGCAAAACTCGCGGCGGTTGCGTCTGCCTTGCGGCGCGAACTACAACTCCCGGCGTGCCSTGCTGGCGGCGAAAAGGCGGGAAAAGCGTGAGGGGGACGGTGCCCCCAGGTGGGAAATTAGGTGGAAATCGAAGGAAAATGGGACAAATCGGCGAAAATTTTACGATTTTCACCTCAGGCTTGGAGGGTTTGGGGTTTCCTGTTATGGCTGTGGCTCTAGCGGGGCTGGGGGGGTGTTGATTGGGCTGAGGGGGTTGGGGACAAGGGCGGAAAATGGCTGCTGGGGCCTGAGGGGAAATAAAGGGGTATGAGGGGTATGAGAGGGGTGGAAGTAATGGGGGCTGCGGTAATTTSCTTCATAGTTCCCCCAGGCAGCGTCGGGATGGGGAAGCGCAGGAGCCACCCACTGTCAGGTAACTGGGAAATGCCCAAATGTCCCAATTTGAGTTCAAAATTACCTTCCCCACACAAATGAGACGCCCCCCCGCCATCCAAACTGGGACTCCCTTTCCTCCCCACAACAGGTGACAGGAAATTCCACGCTCCCAAAGCCAAGCGGATCCTTCAGGAAGTGTCAGAAGCTGCCGGCTCAGCCACGCTTGTTTCCTCCCAGAGCAATGATCCCGACAGAAATCCTGCTGGGATGGACACCCAGGCAAGGTAATGGGAGTGTGTTATGGGGAGTGACTGGGCTGGATCCATCCACATCCAATTCAATGGGATTTGCTGGATCCAGCAGCAAGAACACCGSTGGCAAGGCAGATCCAGAGGGAATCCATGTGGGAGAGCACGGAACCAGATCTCTGCAGGTATGAGAAACCTCCAGCATGGTGTTCACACCTAGCAGAGGGAAAAACTTCCCAAAMTGGGGTTTTTAACTTATTTTTTCAGGAAGGGAGAAACGAGGGAATCGGAGGCAGCASCGCTCCAGGATCACCAAAACAGAGAATTTTGGAAGCGAATGGGACAGGAGAGGATGAGCTGGAGTCACCAAAACCAGGAACTTTGGATGGGACAGGAGAGAATTGTCCAGAATCAGCAAAACCAGGAATTTTGGAGGTGGATGGGGCAGGGGAGGAGCCCTCAGAGTCAGTGAAACAAGTAATTTTTGATAGAATGGGACAGAATCATCTGGAGTCATCCCAGATGGGAATCTCGGGAGCAGGAGAGGAGCAGCTAGAAACATCAAAACATGGAA